CACCTCGCAAATTGCAGCGACTCTGAAACCCCATCAGCTCTGTATGCACTCTAAATAAATGCTGGAAATGGAGGAATTGCGTGGGGGGAACCCAGCAACCGGCGGCGGTTGGGAGGCGCAATTCAATGGGTCTGTATTTCAAGGAAACGGCCCCAAGTATGCCAATAAGCGAGCTGTACAAGGCCTTTCGCCTTGTAATGCAGTAATACGCACTTGAGGTACGGGCACCTGCAACCCGCAGATAGGGCTCGTCACACGTCCCACGGAGATCTCACGGAGACAGGACTTTGCGGCACTTGATGAATTCCGGTGCCCTCCAACGCCAGCTGTACAACTACAAATACCACGCCTGCTAATGTAAATGCCAAATATATAGCTAATATTTTCATTCTTGTGACACTTGATTGCTCCAATAGTCTGAGACATTGAAGGTACGTGGGCGAAGGGGGCCAGGGCTACCTTGCTCAGCGCAGCATTAACTCTGCATTGTTCTTCACCATCTACCCTCCTTCTCGCTAGAATTGGGCCACAGTCAAGCTTATATGCAGTTGTTTATAGCAATAGTTTCCTTTTTATTATTATACTGATTCTTAGTGAGAAGTTTACAGCGGAAGTTTGCTACAGGCGCGGTCGGGCTCCGCGTGGATGAGCTGAAGGGTGTGCCACGGTTTTACCTAGTAATAGATTGTTTTACAGTGTAATTATACTTCCATTTAATCAGCCTGAAATATAGGATGATAAATGGTGAAAGCTTTAAATCAAATCGTCAAATCGTTGTCCTTGCTCGCCGCTTCAACGATACAACTTCGGCTGTAGAGAGCGCTGCGGCGGTTCAGGTGACGGTTTGGGTGATATCCGGAAATTCAAAGCTTCGATCAGATGATCTCTGTTCAGCCTTGATTTACAAAATTAAGCTTGAGAGATATTGTGTTTAAGCGGGTAGGGCTGTGCAGCTGTGCCGAAAATGCGAAGGCTATTCGCCGCGATGCCCGCCTTCTTGAAAGACTTTGCTTACCTGTGAAGACTTAGGGCTTCCCTAGAAAATGTCTGGGGAATTTTTTCGCTTCTCTGTATCTCTGTATAGGCTTACTGCTGCATTCCTGGGGTTGTGCTTTGGCCTAGCCTTGCCTTCCTTTCAGGTCTCATGAAGGCCTTAACATTGTTCGCTTTAGTCAGCCGCCGGCAGCGCTGGCGTGTTTTTCTAAGGTGTTCTTTTATTCAAAGTGTTCTGCATCACCCTGCCTGCGTTTGTCGCACTGAAGAAACTCATGGAGCCACAGGAGCATTGACTTTGCGCAAGCATAGAATGCCACTGATTAGAAGAAACTCCAGCCCTGGCGCACTGGCTAGCTTAGCAACACAGCAGAACCACGTCCGACATTTGTGTACTGCCAGAGCGCAATAGCTTCTGGATGTATGCTTTGTGCTTTTTTCACTGTCATAATGCGCGGTACAGTGATGGGCATAAACGCCGACGGAATTTTTGGGGACAGTCCGCAGGAGGCGTTAGAACGACACAGTAGTATTGAATGTCGGTGCCTGCTTAAAAGTGATTGTGCAGCATACATCATGAGTTGTATCGTTTGACCTCAGCGCTGCCGGGATCCGTGCAGGTAGGCGCTACCCTTCATTTCAAAGATACGCCAGGACAAATGTCTAGTACTGGGGGCATCAAAAAGCAGCCTTTAGGCTCTTTTCCATACACGTTTATGCCGTCAGGCCTGGAGGTACGGCTTCAAAGCGCAGCAGCGTTTGTCCGTAAGGCACCAGTGCGAAGTTGGGTTTGTAAGCAATGTGGGCTTCTAATACGCAGTTTCAAGTTGTGTATGGACCTGCTTAGCGTTTGCCAGATATTGTTGCATGGCATTAAAAACCTGATTTTTTTCAGGCTCCGACCAGAACGCTAAACCTTTACGGGGACAACACTGCATCGTCCATGCTGAGAGCGAAATTTGGTACAAAAGAGAGGTTTTCCAGCTATGACAAAATGGGCTCAAGGCATCGGGTTCCCTGACTGGAGAGGGTCAGGACTTACAAGAAGCTAACTCGAAACACCATACGTACGATGTGGTTTTGCACTGGTTTAAGAAATTCGCATAAATGATGGCGTGATAAGCCAGCAAGGCCGCAAATCCACGCCACGCCAACAAAAAATCCACACTTTGAAGTTTCTTCAACTCAGAACTTTCAAAAACGTACAGCTTTGGGGGCTAGCTGTGCCTGGGGCACGGCAGATATTGTCAGACACCAACGCTGCCGGCGCCAGGCTTTTACTTAGCTAGTTCCGGCACCTTGCCTACAGTGATTTTAACACCCCAAGTCTCCTTTTCACCTATGATTTCCTCTGGTTCTCCTGCCCCTTTTCTGAACCCCTTTATCAGGATTACCGGTCACCAGACGGGACACTGATGCTGTGGCATAGCGAGGGATGACCTCTTCAATCGTAGCGCTTGGTCAATCCAATTTCCCTTGAAGTACGTCAGCCCATACCGGACTTCCAGAACGAGTGATCTTCCAAAATTCAGTTCAGAAGCGGGCTGTTTTCTAGGTCGCTGTATCCTAAGCGGCAGATATGCTGACGGCACTACATACGCTCAGGATGTCTTGGGAAAGTTATCAACAGCTCGCCCGCCAAAGCGTTTCTAGGTTCTGAAAATATTACGGCGTTGTTTTCCAGAAAGCCTGTAATCGCCCCCTGCAGCCTGGACAAAGTCTGTAAACAACTCATGCGCACACAGCGTTCACGCTGACGCCCGTGGTAAACGAGAGCCCCAAGCAGTGAAGTCTCGGCAAGAAGTCACCAGAAGTAGGCCGTTTGAGAGGAAATGTGGGATGAAGAAGCCTAAGTTGCCGAGGCGTCAGCCATGTGAGAAGGTAACAACATCGGAACATCCCATGTGTGCTCCTGTAGCATGCGCTTTGCCTTCGTGCTCCACGTGAATGAGAGGTGCAAGCAACATAAGTCGTGTTACGTTACATCGGATGCATTAAGCGTTTTCTACGTGACTCGCAAAGCCCGAAGCTCCATCGGATCGAGCTGCTGGTTACCGGCTCAACGAGCGACCCTATAAAACAAAATAACAACTTGCCTAGAGACAACTTGCCTTAAGAATACGTATATTGGTTTCGAAAGTCAAAGCAAACCGGAATAGGTTAATGTGGAAACAGAGAAGCTGCACAATTGTGTAGGATGCTACGCAAGCGCTAGCCAAAGTGCTTGTGGGCTACGGGCCACTGAGAGACTCAATGAACGTCACGATCAGTACCGAACTTCACTAATTCTCAAGATCCGCATCTGTTGGGGAACACCTATGTATTCTGCAAATTTTAAGAATTTTCCGTTCGAAGGAAAACGCTAGATATTCTATTCAGCAGGGCACAACCGACTCAGCGTACAGCCATCGCCCAAATTCTGCAATCAGATTGAGCCCACAGATCACTGAATCCTGCGCCCCCACTGTGTGACATTCTAGCAAAGAAAATATGATTCCTCAAAACCTGGAAGGACAGTTATATGGCTTGATAGTAACAATATGGATGAAGACAGAAACTCGTGCTGTGAACCAGGGTGCTCAGGAAATCAACTATAACGAATGTCTAAAATAATCTGCAGAACTCCCCGGGGAAGCTTGTCATATAAGAATTCTTGCTTGAATTCGTTGAAAACCGAAGGAAAATTCCGAGAGCCAACCATTAGGTGCAAAAGGACCGGGAATTCTCCTGTCTCCATCGCTGAGCGAGAATGACGGTAGAGTTGGTCGTGAAATAATCCTAATTCTTATCTAGGCAGTTGAAAAGAAGTATTCCAGCATAATACAACGCCACAGCTTTAAAAACCTACTCAGCACATGCATATATATGGCCCTGACGTCTTCTGACGTCCTCAGTACTGTAGGACAGTATGCGCTAGGCCACCTTGCCGCGCGAAACTAGCAACTCACTAGCATGTTCAAAAGTAACAAGGATTGCATTCAGTCTAGCTGCATGCAACACAAATGCCTCGGCCACAACCAGTGTCAGCAGCAGGTCCCAACTAAATACATTGAATCGGTGTCAAACAGAGAACATCACCAAGCTATTAAGCACGAACAGGTGCAACAAATCACCATTTTTGTGACGCAAGTATCGAACACTTCGAACCAGGCCCTGCAGACATTTATACCGAGCCACCGGACGCACTGTTCGCGCTGCACTAAGAGCAATTTCGATCCCTCACTAGAAAGGTCGCACAATTCGTGTTGCTTCACAACTTCCTTGCAACAGCAGACAAAAGTATCTTCAAGACTGAAGGAACACTGTGTGCAGAAGCCAGAGATAACGCTCACTCGTACTCCTGTCATTTCTCCTAGCAGCCAGTTGAAGCCAAGAAAAGTCTGAACAGGATACCAACGACTTGCCACGTCGTTGCCAAGCAATCAACAAGGCGATCAAGTTTACCTACGAATTTTGCTCCGAATGACAACTACTCCCGTCCACGTGGCTTGAGCAGCTCCAGTTGTGCCGCCTTAATGAGCTGACGTGGCTTGTAAGACTGTATGCTCCTCCTAACAGGACTCGGGGCGCTTCTGCAAGGTTGCGAATCGGCTCTGTGATGTTCGACTGCTCCAAATGACACATTACACTACAGTCTGGCACATCAACGGCCGTTCGCTTAACAATATTCCTGAATAAGCGGTGACGAATAAGGTCTTCCGCAGACGCTCTTGTTCATTTGCTGAGAAATATAGATCGCAACTGTCCTGAGGTGTCTGCTGCACCAGTCGAAAGATCCGAAGAGCATCTGAAGCTCTTCTATTTTATGTCGCCTCAAGCATTTGGGCTCGATACGGCTTAAGGCACGGCTGTAGACAACCGGTTTGATAAAACAGCCACGTTCTCAGCACAGATGTTGTGAAAAAGGCACGCACCCGTGCTACACATTTGCCAGTTTGCATTGTCCGCTGGGTGCATATTGCATCTCCTGGAGCCGAAACGGTGTGTTCGGTTGCAGCTCTGATGCTTTAATGTGGTGTAGAATCTCCCTGGGACTCCCTCCACTGGCGATCATCCGCTAACCATTCTTTCCAGTAGCCCCTACTGAGTGCAGGTATGGTATTCGCGCAAAGGACAGTTCGCTTGAGTTCAACCAGAAAATCTGGTGCAGGGCGCATACCGCGCCTGTAAAAGTTTAGTGCATTGTTCAACGATTGCGCCAAATTATTATATTCCACTGCCAGTGGACTTGTAGCTGCATTCCCCGAAGGGCCCGTATAGTATGGAATTACATTCATGAGTCTATACCACCAATTCCTCCGTCTTGCCCGTAATCCAAGTACCTCACTGGCAGCATATAGCGAATCTACCAGCAACAAAGCAAGCGCCAACCTTTGAACGATTACCTCTGGCTTCTCCCCTTCAGTTTCGTTCCTCATATAGCGCAATGCATAGTAGACGAGCCGCTCAATGGCGCTCATTAGGATTTCTAGATCCACACTGTCGAGAAATGGCATCTTCAGCAAGTCTTTCACAATCACCAATGCGTGAGCAAGGTACGCCTGCTTCCTGAATGACGTGTTTGAAAGCGCTGAGCCAAAATGACGAACATAAGCACCCGGTAGCACACGCGGCAACCTGACAAACGGGTGCGTGCTAATATCCTTCTGCGGAGAAGTCCAACCCCCCAAAGGTGGAACACAAAAGTCAGAAACGGTACTAAACGAGAGATTCGCCTGATAAGCAGCCAAATGAACACAATACCAAACTATCCAGCTTCATATTTTGCTCACTTTGCGAAAGCCGCAAAAACACAAAAAGCGACGATTATTATTCAACGACAAAGGCGTATCTGCATATGCGCTAGCAGGAATGTTAAGTGTAATTTCTAAGGGTTCAGAAGAAGGCAGCTCCGTTGAAGGACGTGTTATGACGTACCTCGCTTCTCATGTTTTCATCAGGGATGGGCTTGTTTCCCTGTTGAATACCTTTATGTCCAGCGAAAGATGAAGATTGGGACGAAGCTACTTCAAAGACAGTGGGTTGCGCTGACGATGGGGGCTTTTCTCCCTGTTGAGTGGCCATCTGCCCAAAGAAAGGTGAAACTTGAAATGGAGACTCTCCGTACATTGGTGCTAGTGTTGACGATGGCTGCAACTCAGTTGGCACGGCTTGGAATGCTTCCGGAAGCACTGGCGCAGTTGAAAAAGGAGTGTTTCCTGAGTTGTCTCTAATTTTCAGTGCGTCGTGGCTCTGCAGGGGCTGAGCATTAATCATATCCTCAAGATAACCAAGAGACGCAGCACTGGGCCTGTACATTAGGCCTTCAAAGCTGGATTCCAACTGCTGTTTAGGTGACACAGCCTCATCGTCCTTCCTTGAGGACTGCACTATGAACTCGGAATGTCCGCCTACCCGTTGTGCCTCATCAGGTGCCAGTCTCGGGGGCAATCCTTCAAAGTCTTCACTGGCATTAAGAAGCCATCCCTCTACTGACAGGGCTGCGTCGTCCGTTGTGAGCGCTGCTCCTACGAAGCGACCCTGTGAAGTATCCAAAATGGTAGAAGTTGATTGTACTGACTTCATAGCCACCTTCCCCTTCTTCGTTTGCGTTAAGAAGCCCTCATGATTTTCATGGTCTTGTTCCATTTTCCGCTTCCGTGAACTAGCGCCTGCAGTTTCATCATTGGCATCTGCGATGAGCGGCATGTAATGCACTTCAGGAGCTCGCTGCACTGATGCAGGGTGGGTTTCTGGTCCTTCGCAAATTGGCCAGGCATTGTGTTCCGTCCAGCGCATATTTGAGATGTCTTCACCTCCTGCGAGTTTCCTTTCTGCAGGCAGCTGTATCCTTTCCCTTTTGAGTAGCATGGCACAGTAGGATACGAGGAAGAACACGGCGAGGACAGAGGCGAAGGCAGCTACGCTAGTAACAACAGTTGTGCTTCCTTGGCTCAGGGCAAGAGCACGTGGAGACCGGCAGTATATATATCTTCGTTCCTGCTTTTCTACTGAAGGAAAGACTGAAGCTTTGAAGTTCTGCAGATTACCCGCAGGCTGCTCTGCCTGTGGGGACCAACCTGGCGGCCTAGCGTTCACCATTGATCTTTGGAGAGAGCTACAAAATAATCGGTTAACTTGAAGCTTTTGACAATGAGATGGCAGCTGAAGGAGACACTCCCCAATTGACGCTGGCCACCTACTTCATGTGAAGGTCTGTCCACTGGGCCAGTGACTTTCCAATGGACAGATATTAGCTGTAGACTAAAAACAGTGTTAAGAAACAAAGTTCGTACACAACGAGCCAAAAGAAAACAAAAATATGGCCTTCGTAATGTTCGCAGCTGTCCAAATCCCCCCCTCAAGTGCACGTGTGTAGCCAGATCAGCAAGGTGTAGTCAGGACAGAGAGAACTCTCAGCCAGCATGACTCTCTTGAAAAATCAGTAACAAAAGTCCGTAGCTATATACTGATACACTCCGCGTACCAGGATCACTTTAAAGACACTAGAGAAGGAGCTCATCGGCTTTGACACTGTGGAGTTCCTCTTGGCGTGGCAGCTGCTACAACGTGCAGTAAAGAAAGAGATCTAGCGTGAAAACACCATTTCCTGATACTTCATAAGGGATAGTTAGTTATTTCTGCCCAAGATGCTGCCCAACGATGCCTGTGACGTTTCTTGGCTCCCTGCATCGAAACTCGAGGAAACGCGCACAACTCATGAACCCGCTGCGCCTCCCTCATGATGGGACTTCGCGTCAGTGAATCATACAGAAAAAAGCTGCCATAGTGGACCTGAATATAAATTATGAGAATGCCGGAGCTACTTTGGAGAACAAGGGCTGAAGCCTAGGTAGAAAAGGCAAAATTACGGCAGCGAGCACGAATTGCTTTTTGTTTCGAGCAGGAACTATCTGCCTAAACGCTCTCAGTTTCAACAAGGCAGGCGCTAAAATCTTTATGAAATATGTAGTTGCCAAAGAATATCAGACCAACCTAGTAAAGCGGGATGCTGGCAATTCTAGGAAAACATGGGTATGACCACTGATACGGGCCAAAAAGCGCAGAGGCTGTGTACGTGCGGATTCATATGAAAACATGGCCAAGACACCAATTCAGAGAACAGCTGATGCCCATATATTCCAGTGTTTCGATTTCGCCAGAACACCCCGTTCCGTAGCTGAATTCCAACGAAACAGCATCAGAACTGAAGGCCTCTTTCATCTCCGTACTATCGACGACGAACAAACGTCTCACACCTTGCTGCCTGGGCATTTTGAAGCCTTGACATGCTCTTCCACCTCCATAAAAACAGTGCCAGCGAAAGATCCTAACTAAATATGAAACAGTGTAGGCATCAAACAGAAAATATCACCAAGCTACGAAACACGAACAGCTACAATGATTTACATTTTTGAGATGCAGCTATCCGACACTGCGCGCCGGGAATCAAGAGGTAGTAATACCAAGCCACCGACACAAGTATCTTAAAGATTGAACGAAAAGTGTGCAGAAGGCAGAGATAACGCCCACCCGTACTCCCCCGAGCAGCCAGTTGAAGCCGTGCAAAACAATGCCAACGAATTACCGCGTCGTTGCCAAACAATCAATAACGCGACCAAGTTTACCTATGAATTGGGGTCTAAATAGCAACTGCTTTCATACATTCCAACAGCCCCGGCTGTGTCGCATCAAGGAGCTGACATCCATCCCTAGTAGTTCGAGAGATTGCATGCTCCTCCCAACAGAACTCGAGGCGCTTCTGCAACGCTGTAGATCGGCTCTGTATGCTCGACTGCTCCAAATGACACAATACACTGCAGTCTGGTACATCAACGACCGCTCATTCAGCAATATTCCTGAATAAGCGCTGACGCATAAGCTCTTGGGAAATGTTCGCGTTCGCTTGCTGAGAAATGAATTTATGTATCCTCAGGTGTCTGCTGCACCAGTCGAAAGATCCGAAGAGCATCCGAAGCTCTTCCGTTTGATGTTGCCCCTGACATTTGAACTCAATACAGCCAAGGCGCAACGGTAGACAACTGATTGATAAAACAGCCAACTTGTCGGCACAAACATTGTGAAAAAAGCACGGAAAAGCACGCGTGCTCTACATTTGCTAGTATGCACGTTGTGCATGGTACCCATTGCACATCGTTAAACCACAACCGCGGTTTTGGTTGTAGCCCTGATGCCTCCCTGTGGCAAAAAACATCACGGAAATGACTGCCACTCACGGTCATCATATGCCCAACTTCTCCAGGTAGCCTGCTGAAGCCTATGGGATACCGTGGTCATTGCAATAAGGCGTTTGACTCGAATCAGTACCTCTGGTGGGGCGCGCGTACCGCGCCTGTAAAAGTCTATGCTTTGGTCAAGTAGTAGCGCCAAGTTAATATTGGAAGACTCTGCTGTGTCTTTCGGCACACTCCGAAAAGGGCCAACAAAAAAAGGAACAGCATTGAGAACCGCCGGCCACCATTCGTTACGCCTTGCCTTTCGCCCCAGTACCTCACTCGCGGAATACAGCGAATCCAACAACATAAAAGCAAATGCTAACTTCCTGGCAACCAGCTTCGGCTTCAAATTAGTAGCGTCCGCATCCATACTGTACAGTGCGTGGCTAACGAGGCGCTCAACGCTTATCACTAGGTCCAATAACTCGGCACTTCCAACAATTGGCAGCTTCAGGATTCTCCTGATGCAGCGTAGTACGTGGTACGCATTGCGAGAAGAACCGGGTGATCGCTTGATGTTCTCCCACTTCATTCCCCTCACAGAAGCACCGGGTGCGACACACGGCAGTCTGACGAACGGGTGTGTCGTAATATCCTTCGCGAAGGGCAAAAGCCGTTCATCAAGGGAAGGACTTTCCTGTGTCTGAAACTCAATCAAAAGAACATGACAGCAAACGATCCAGCTTCACACTCTGCCCGATTTTCAAAGGCTGCAAAAGATGATCAGGCATGAAAAGAGATGATAATTATCGTGTTGAAAGATGTGCTCGCACGCAGAATGACTGTGACTTCTAAGCGTGTAGGCGCCACTCAAACGTGTTACATGCCTCGTCCCTCAAGCTCTTGCACAGTTGAGAATTGTATCCCTGTCGGATACTTACCTGCCCCACAAAAGGCAAATGAAACTGTGAAGACATATTGCCGACTCCGGGTTGTGCTGACTGTTGCTGTTCGTACCCCTGTTGCGCCGTAACCTGCCCAACTGGAGGAAGAAATTGAGATACAGTCTCTCCGGGAAGTGTGGCTTGCTGCTCGTATCCTTGCTGCCCCGTCATGTCCCCATTTAAGGAGAAATACTGAGGTGGAGTGCCTCCGTAGACTGCGGCTTGCTCTAAAGGTCGCTGCTCATATTCCCCTCCGGCGATCATGGGCACAATAAAATGTAAATGCTGAGATGAAGACCCTTGATAGTCTGTGACTTGTTCTGGCGGTGGCTCTACGCATCCTTGTTGGGTGCTCGTCTGCCCAAAAAACGGTAAATGCTGAGACGATGACCCTCCGCACATTGCAGTTAGTGTTGACGATGGCTGAAAGTCAAGTGGCATGGCATGGGATGCTTCAGGAAACGCTGGCGCACTTGGAAAATGAGTGCTTGCAAATCCGTCTGCAGTTCTCGGTGCCTCATGACTCAGCTGGGGGTGAGCGCTAATCGTCTCCTCAAAGAACCCACGAGGCACAGCACTGGGCCTGTATACTAAGCTTCCGACGCCGGATTGTAACTGTCGTTTGGATGACACAGTGCAAGCATCCTTCCCTGAGGAATCCATAATGAACTCTAAATGCCCGTTTGCTTGGAGTGGCTCATCCGAAGCCGTGTTCGGCGACTCTTCGAAGTCGTCGTTGGCATCCAAAAGCCACCCCTCTAGTGACAAGGCTGAGTCTCCGGCTGCCAGCGTCTCGTCAATCAACTGACTTAGCGTGCTGTCTAAGACAGGGTTCACAACTGATTCTCCTGGAAGCTTCACTAGTCCCTTTGCCCTCTTCTGTTGCAGTAAGAACCCATCATGCTTTTCAGAGTCCTGTTCTATTTTCCGTTTCCATGAACTAGTGCCTGCACTTTCATCAATGGCATCTGCGATAGGCAGCTTGAGGGACATTTCAGGAGCTTGTTGCGCTGATGCAGGCTGGGATTCTGTCGCTTCGCAAATTGGCCGGGCATCGTGTTCCGTCCTGTGCGTACCTGTTATCCTTTCGTCTTCTGCAAGATTTCTCCCTGAAGACATCCGTAGCCTCTGCTTTTTTAGGAGCACAGAGCAGTAGGACACGAAGAAGAATACAGCAAGGATTGACGCGAATGCCGCTGCACCGATGATAGCGGGGGAACCACGACCTCCGGGGAGCCGGGGGCTAGACCACAGGCTGTACGCATCATACTGTGTCTGGTCTCTTCTCGATGATGAGAACACCGGGCTGACAACTCCTCCGTGCGGATACTCGCGGCTCTCTTGCTTAATGTGAGAAGAGAAACCCGCCATCGATCCACAGATCTTCCTGGGATGTTACTGAGGCGTTATGATAGTGCCTGAGAAACCGGATTTCTTTTAAAAAAAACAACAAAACGAACCTGAAATGGCCAGGTAGGTTTCAACTGCTGCAGCATTTAAGGCGCTGCATTGAAGTCTGGACACGGCGCAAGACACCCCTTGCAATGACTGCTCAGTTCCACAGAAGAACGGTCTGCCGAACAATAAAAGGAACACTCAGTCAAAAACGATGAGCAAAGATTGCTGACAAGTAATGCTGCTTTATCATTAGCGAACCCATCCCTAAACTGAGGATGCACTGCTCATAGGCAACTAATCTGGGCAACGCTGTACGTTGTGCCCATCAACACCGGAGTTTCGAAAAAACATGTCATATATATTTGCAAAGTTAAATATTTGGCGAGTGCAAGAAATAGAAACGTTTTATTCCCCCGATTTTCGCGGACTCGGCACAAGGTGCGAACTCTCTGTGGCGATCTGCCAAACGGTGGACAAAGCAACCAAAATCAGTCCTACAGATGTTCTCTAGGTTTGAAATTGGTGCATTATCTTAAACACTCAACTGCCTTTGCTTGCGCTTCGATTTTTCTGTCCCAATTCTGCCTACCACCGCAACGGAGATGGCGATCCAGTCGAGCCGAGGAGGATGTCTTGTAAACCATCGCCTTCTGCTTGCGGAAATTGCTAGTGGGATTGCCTTTCGGTTTGCATTTTCTGAGGATATTAAAACTCATTAAAGCGAATTGAATTTTCCGACATCAGTTGTCGCTAACTGCCTGCGCAACCTTAAACCGTCAACGCTCCAGGATGAGACTGAGGGGGGGCTATATAGCGCATCAAAAAGGACGTTGCTAGCGCCATAGACTAAACAACAAGTTAATTTCCTGTTCGTTCTCAGGTCTGTGATGCCTTTCGCATACCTGATTGTCCAATGAATTTCAAACTTTGAAGCGCTGTGCGCTGAAGACTTCACAGGGTCACGGCCCCACAAGTAGTAAATTAATCCCTAATTTTTCCAGTTCTGCAAACTTGAGTGCCGATTTTTTCTTTCAACAGGTTGACAATGCAATTTGCGACACCTTGCACTCATTATAGGGCCGCAAGGAGCCGCTCATGGCTCCAGGAGAAAGGAGAGGGCTTTGGAGGGCCCTCATGGATGGCGGAGTCTCTGATATGTACGTTTATCTCTTCTGAGCATTGCCCTTTTCGGGCAAACAACATTAGCTTGAAAAATACAGAAGGCCGATTAATGCTTTATATCACCTCAAATCGAAAAATTACCCCCGCACGCGCCTGCTCTGCTGGTCGAATGCACCTGCCTGCGTACTATCGGACTGACTCCTGGCCATGCATACAACACAGCGGTGCATTGATAACAAGTTCAAGTCAAAGAAACCCCTTTGGCACTGAAAAGACTCATGTTTGGGTCCCGTCTCCAGCTATGTCAAAATGCCCTTACAGTGTAGGTAGGTTCAACGGCGCGTGCAGTTACTGCAGCGCGCTAGCCTAACCAGTCCGTTTCACTGCTATGTCTTGTTGCACAGATACAACAGCATTTCAAACTGTTCTCCAACAGTTGAGTGGTCTAACCTCGCCGCTTAAACTTGTCGAAAGCCCTCCACTGGGCTCCTCCAGAGGCCACGCTAAGGCCTTATAATTCTGGAAAATTGTTCCTATACATTTGCTTCACAGAACTTTTGTAGCTAGTGACGCCCTGAGGTCCTGTGGCGAGTGTCTTCATCAGCTCTGGCGACAGTGTCATGCCTTCCATGGCGAAGCCTCCCTCTCGCTTGGATTACAAGATGCACAACCAAAGCATTTCCAAAGAACATGAACAAACTGGTTTCTGGATAGATTCTGAGCAGCACGTCCGAATGGCACCTCGTCTAACGTTCGATAACGCTGTCCTCCCTGCCAGCTCTCCACTTTCCGTGCGGGGCGTAACTCTTGGCAAGATTCATAGTTACGCACCATCACACCTGGCAGGCAACAAACGATAGGAGTGTCAGAAAACAGCCAGGGTAAAAATGTAGCTGCCCTCTACCCAGTAGTTCAGTTGTTGTCGGTGGCTCGCTGGTGAGGGTGATGGGCGCGGCGAACGCTTCGTCGAGACTGCGCAGCCTGCTCCCTCACGCGTCGATGCCTTTTATTGGACGCATGAGGGACCAGCCTGCACGAGGCGTTAAATTATCTCTCAGTGTTTTTGTATGGCCTGCAAACACAAATCAGTTTTAGGCTTGTACACTGGACGCACACAGTGAAGCAAACAAAAGAACCGTTGTCTTCTGTGTTCAGCCCCTCGCCTATTGCTTGTGTTTACGTTTGTCCAGAGGAACAGAAACTGTCTGATTGCTTGGACACCCATTCCAAGCATTATTTTTCTTCAGCTGGTTCTTGTCTTAGCTATAAACCTCAGCCATCTTATTCTTCAGGGTGCCACGTAGCCCTGTAGCTTTAGGGCCCGTGCCAGCGCATAGGGTCAGCTGAGGAGATTATGATCGACGCAAGTTGTTGCTTACTACCGGTCGCTGGTCTTCCCATAGCAATTCCCTGCTAGGAATAACGTACTCCCGTTCCATGAGCCCTGTGGTACGCCACCCTCCGCGGAGTTGCTAGCCATTTTGCTTTCGTGTTAGCCTCTGTGTCGTAAGCCCGAGACAAGTAACAGACATATAACTACTTGAGCACTACAACTTCGTGTTTTATGGAGCGTGAACTCTGTCTGGAGGTGATTTTGGCTGCACGCACAGGCCGGTACGCCATCAGCACTAAAACGTGACACGACGTCAGGCGCTATTCGTCGTCATTCTAGGCGTATTTAGCCAGAATCGCTTATTTCTAGAACTTAAAACAGCGCAGCTGTAGAGTGTGGGACGTCGAATGTATTTCTGTAACTAATTGAAGAAATTGCGGTGCATGCAGCATTTTGGGGCTGTCGTTGGTTCTGCACACTTTTCACAAGCTACTCGCACTTTTGAGCCCCTGATACTCAAGGATACATATATGAAGGGTGCAGAAGTAACATGTAATGGTTAGCAAAGTTCCTATGGTTTTGCGACTATCTCAACGAAGGATTACTGCTCGCGCTCGCTTCATTGCTGTAGTGCCGCCGATACTAGGACGTCAAACTGCTCAATAAAGATATTTCGCTGCTGTAGGTGCAGACTATTCGTGCTCTGTCTGAATATATCATAGTCTCCCCACCTCCTGCAGGACTTTTCTGCGCATTGCGAAGAGATGACAGCCAAACCGCCAACTTCAGCGTCATCAGGAAGAAAAACCCCGAGTGAATTCCTTCAGAGAGTCTTGGGTGGAAATGTTCTCGTAAAGCTGAACAGTGGAGTAATATACAAAGGTAGGCTGCAAGCGCAACACGGGGGCGAAATCATCATAGTGCCTCTTAGACTTAAGGACGCTGCTGAACGCTGATGACTCCAGAACACATATCCTCCACACAAAGGCCGCACTCAACGTATATTTCCTCGATGCACCATGCCAAGCTAGTGTCTGTAGATCCGCTGAAACCGGTTTTACGTGCGCAATTGGCTGGCCCCACCTTCCCTCTGTTTACTGGCAGCTGTGTAAGGACTTTATATAGGTGCTCACTGCGCTGTTCACTACAGGTACCCTACAGTGTCTTGACGACAGAATGAACATCGCTTTAGAAAAAGCGCAGGAATTTTCCGAAGAGCAAACACTTGTGGCTTCGTATCCTCTAGCACTCATCCGAGGAAACAACGGTAAGTGCTGCACCCGTCCTTGTGTGTCGACGGCACCGTAGAGAATTGGGTCGTTCGGATTATGAAGCGCAGCACAGTAGAGGGGATACAAGCCTTAGAGCGGGCACAACCTGCCTCCCCGTTACGTTCGTGGCGTGCAGTGTGGCGGGCTCTGAAGTGTGGTGTGCTGTCGCTCCTTCAGTCCTTTACATAAGCTCTGAGCAAGGAGAGGGAGATAGCTGAAGGCATGCTTCCCCGGCGTTCGGCACGTTAAACAAGTACAGGCTCCTCTCAGCCTCACTGCTTGCATTATGTGGCGAAGCCCGGAACTATAAACGATGCAGGCTGCTGGTGCACGGCGGTCGAACTTGTCACGCCTTTTCTCGAAAAAACTTGCCACTTCGGCATTTCGACGAATGCTGTGCATCCCCAAAATCCGGTGTATTTGCCCGTTACAAGCTACAGATTGTTGCATATTCATGCACTGCGTATCCGCAGTGCACCCCTAGCCCACGGCTACTGCGAATGTGACTACTTGCTGAGTAGCTCTGCTAGCCCTGTTAACCGTGCGGCAAAACAACCAAACGTTGCGCTCGCAATAAGGCCATATCTGCTACTCCACGTATCCCCCGAGTGACGCTCCCGTATTGGGTGGAAGTCCAAGCATTTCCGTCCCATGCAAATGAAAGTCACTGCAAAGGAGTAGCCCTAAACGGCAACCCCGGTAACGTGCAAGCACCGTAAGCGCTTCTATTCATCCACTTCTGCATCTTTATGCTTCTTCTTCTTGTGCTTCTTCGAAGGCTTGTCGGCCTGTTCCTCGTCTTCTACATCCTCACCCTCTATGTGTCTCTTTTTCTTCTTCGGCTGAGCAAAACGTACTCGCAACGGATTCGCAAGTGAACGGTGTGAACGGCAACTACACACAACTCATGTTCTCCAAAGCTCTCCAAAGCAAATCCGCTACGGAGTGCCATACCTTTTCTGTAACGCCATTTTGTGCAGTCCCCTCCTCACACTCTGGTGCGCCTTCTTCCCGTTCTGACTTCACAGCATTCTCGGCTGGAGCTTCGGGCTCGCCAGTCAGTTTCGGAAGGAAGCCCTCAGTCTTCAGCCACTCCTTCGGCGTGTTCTCGTTGGGGCGGCCTTTCTTATCCAGCAACCCCCCTAATATCATCTTCTTTTTCTCAGAAGCACGCGGGCCATAGCCCCAACGCATCGCATATGTGTCGCGATCCATTAAGACCCGTTTAACAGCCGCAACAATTCCGT